TTGACCTGCAAAAAAAAAATAGTTTGTCGGCCATATTGTTTCTCTATCGAGCCCTGGACATAAACATTAAAACATAACTCCATATCTGTCATGTGAAACTTGTTTGTTGTTTCTGTTAACCAGGCAATTCTCGAACTTCTACAAGGCTCACGGTTCAGCGACTGTGACTCCATCATCATTTACTGCACACGTCGAGACCAAACAGAACAACTGTCGACCTACCTGAGGACGTGTCTGCAGAAGAATCCAATGAATACAAGCAGTTCTATCACGGATCAAAACGGAGCTGATGAAATGGAGAAAGAAAACAAGGAGAAGAAACGTGGAAGGAAAAGGTAGAAAGGGGGAGGGATGTCAGGGGTGGATCTACAGGGGCTGGCCTCTCTGACCCACCACCCAAAAGTCTGACAAACATAAAATCTAAGACACTTCAACCCCTACCATCTATGCAGAGTTTCATGTTTTTCCTAATTGTAGAAAATCCGAAACTGCGAAATCAAAATCGGGAAAAAAATCCATGTCTTGGCAAGCCGAATGCTACCATGCGGGTCTTTCAGCCGCACAACGAAAGAAAGTGCAAAAGAAATTCATGGCGGGAGAACTTCGTATCGTAGTCGCGACAGTTGCGTTTGGAATGGGTTTAGATAAAGCTGACGTCCGCGCTGTCATTCATTATAACATGCCGAAGAGTTTTGAAAGTTATGTTCAGGAGATCGGACGGGCTGGAAGAGATGGCTTGCCTTCTCATTGCCATGTTTTTATTGACCCTGAGGTATGAAATATTTCTATTTTTATCCTGGTAGTTCCCTATATTGGACCTCACGTTTGAGTGTATGGCAAGTGTGTTGGGGCTCGGGTGACGCAGTCGTTAGCGCCTTTCACCTCCGAGATCGTGGGTTCTATTCTCGCTACGGACTCATGTGAAAAGAGTCAGTGAACGCTCTGCCGAAAGTCGTGGGTTTTCTCCGGGTGCTCCAGTTTCCTCCCAAAGGGAAAGTTGACAGGGTGGGTTAGGATAAACACAGTTAGGAAAGTAATTTCTCAATTGTTATAAAGATAAGTAGTCTTGGCCAAGTTAGTAACATGAGCGTAATACTTGATGTAATCACATAATGTAATAGGTAGTTTTCTCTATCTATTCAGTCTTGATTATCACCCTTTTCTCTTCACATCCTCTCAATTTAGGGAGAAAAATTCACTCTTTATCCTTTTATCTCATTAGCCATGAGGCTAATTAATTGCATGCTTACATTCAGTTTCTACAGCGCTAAGCAAATGAAAATTAACTGAAACAGCACTTGCTAAAAGAGTAATATTCGTACAATAGTCATGTATGTATTTAAACGTTCTAGGGCAAAGACGTTCGTGAACTTCGTCGACATGCCTACGCCAGTACAGTTGATAGAAATGCAATCAAGAAACTTGTACATCAGATCTTTCCCACATGTGATTGTAAAACACTACATGCCAACATGAAGGAAAAGCGAGATAGAGAACTTGCCTTGGTTAATACAGGATCGAACGCTAATGGTTCAAATGAAGGTGCGAACCAGGATTGGTTTGATGGTGATGATGACATTATTGACCACATGGTCGAGTTTGAGAGTCACGGCAGTAAAGAACTGGGAATCAATGAGGCAGATATCGTAGAGACTGATACCAGTGAAATTACCTCCAAAACCGATGTTGACCAAATTATCGATGGAAACCATAGTGATGTTAAAGGCATTGTTGATAAAGTTCCCCAAGATGATATCAGAATGAATGACGCCACGAAAAGTGATGACGTCACAACGAGCAATGACGTCACAACGAGCAATGACGTCACGAAGAGTGATCACGCCACGGATAGTAACGATGTCGCGAATCGTGATGAGGTCACGAATGACGATGACGTCATGACTGATAACGGTGACGATGACGTCATCACGAATGATGAGTCGGTGACGATGACGTCATCACGAATGATGATGGATCATCATGATACAGAAGATAGTAATGTAGGTTCTAATCGTGTCTGTGGTGGTCATGAAGTGGCATTACCGATTGAAAAGGCAGTGCAACAGCTAGACATGAAAGAAGAAGCTATAGAAACACTGCTATGTTACCTCGAATTACACGCCAAACGTTGGGTACAAATTTTAAAATCCGTTCGTTCTACGTGTACGCTAAAGTTCTACGGCGGCCCCGCCCATTTACATTACGTCGCTCAACGTGTTCCCATGGTAACCGCCGCGGTGGCGTACGCACGCAAGCGCGGGCAGTTCAAACGCAACACGAGCTGTCTGACGTTTCCAATTCTGGAAATCGTCGACGAGATGGGCTGGGATTTGGAACCGGTCAGACGAGAATTGTACGGCCTACAGTGGAATGAAGGCTTGAGGCTTGCTGGTGAAACCGGTTTGTCAGCCGGTCATTCCGGTATAATTGTCGAGTTCACGGATCTGGCATTCCATGTTCGAGCACCTGGGGATTTATCTGGCGATGAGAAAGATGAGGTACGTGATTTTCCATCAAGACTGTATTGTGGGGGATGGGTGGGGGCTATACCCAATAAAGTAGATGTTGGGAAGGGGGCTTAGTCCCCAAAAAAATCAATGTGGAAGAATTTGTATCAGATTCTTCGCTGCCTGAAATGTAAAATGAACAAAATGACCTAGTTTCGCCTGGTCCAATCTTCCCCAGAACGCAGGAAGTACCAGTTTAGAAACTCTAATTACATGGAAAAATATTCCCGGAGTAGAATTTGTCTAACCCCCAACCAAGCATCCACTGCCAAAGACTAAATTTAGGTGCCCTAAGGTTTACACGTTGCAATTCTAACGCACCCTTTGTAAACGACATTAAATTAGATAAAAATTACTAGAAATACACTTTTCCCATACAGGTTTGTGACTTCCTTGAAGATCGTATTATGGCTCAGGAACGTAGCCAGGTAGGACAACTTCATAATGTTTGGTCGACATTTAATACGAGGGCCCACCCGAATTGTTGGCAAAGTGCGGAAGAATGCGACAAAACGGTCGACGGCGACTTAAAGTCCGTCATAAAAGCGTACTTTGAGAGCGGAAATGACGTCACAAAGTCGGAGCTTGAAGCGCTATCGACAGCTCGTAAAAACTCCGAGTTTCTCCAGAGTGTAATCCCCGACGACGAAGAGCCAGTGAACTGGGACGGAGTTTCAAGGGACATACGCTCCTTTATTACAAGTCATGGTGATTTAGAGCTCAGTGGCCGAGCTATCGCCCGAGTGTTTCATGGGATTGATAGTCCATGTTTTCCCGCCATGGTCTGGGGCAGGGAGCGCAGATACTGGAGACGACATCTTGACGTGGACTTTAATTTACTACGAAAGTGTGCCACTAAAGAATTAGTCAAATTTAAGTAGTCAATGTAAAAATAAAGGCACAGTACATGTATAGTTTTAATGAATTGTTAATATTAAAATATTTTGATTTTTGTATGTGTTGGTGTTTCTAATGTACTCAGGTGATGTTTGTGATGTTACTCATGATGATGTGATGTTGCATCCACACCGGGCAAGCTGAAAAGTTCGATTCCCATCATGGTCAGGCAAACTTTCCAGCTTGCTCGGTGTGGATGTACACTCAGAGTAACATAAAAAAAAAATATCGTCGTTGCATGCACGTTGTGTTGCGAGGGTGGAACCAGAATGATTAAATTCATCATGAAATGCATAAATCCATCGTGAATTTTTTGTTTAATAAAAAATTCAGTTATGATAGAAAGGAATATATTAGGTAAATTATATATTCTTCATTCTCCCTGTTTCAAGCTTAGAAAAGCACTTTCAATTAATTCTAGCCACGTTTTCCGAAAACCCAATTCTGTTATATCAACTCCAGTAGCGGTACGTAATTTTATGCTTATTTTTGCATCATACTGAAAAAAAAATACAGCTAAATAAATACACCAATTTTTGCAGTCACCTGCCCAAATCTGCCCATTCATGACAGTGCCTCACACACAATTATATTATTTTCTAGTTTTAATTGAACACCATTGTCAATAGATTGTTGAACAGTTTCCTCGTTTTGACCATCAATAACGTTTATTCCCTGACTAGCTGTTATTCGACTTTCCGTGATTACAACATTGGCAGGATGGGCTGTGCTTGAAAATATCTGCCAATGGAAAAATCAATCAATATCGAAAATTATGCGATTGAGTTGCAACTAACCATGATTGCACTGAGCCTTTATGCACCCAGCTTGGTTATTTTACTCCCGTCTGAAGGCGCGTGTTGTTCTGCCAAATGCTTGAAGCAATGTGTTTGTTCTGGCAAATGCTTGAAGCAATACAAATCTATATATAATATAGAGTATAGTTTGTACATTACCTTTATTCCAACTGTGTTCCTGTTAATGTCGTCGTTGTAAATCTCGCATCTTTGAATTTGAACCACTGAATTTTCTTCAATAATTACACCAACATTCTACGAACAGCAAAACACGCATTTTTACACAGGAAGAACAGTTTAAAACTGATAGAACTATCCAACAGGAATAAGGTTAAGATAGTTTTAGTTGACTTACCGTCGAGCCATACATCTTACAGTTTTCCATTATCAATTCTGCGCCTTGTCTGACAAAAATACCATCCGTGGTACAACGAAATTCACAATTCCTAAGCACTGTTTGGCCTTTTTCCACCACAAGAATAGGAGAGTTTGAAGATGTATGAATAAATTTAATATTGTTTAATTTTATCGACTGTGAGTGCGTTGTAAGAAAACTGTCATCATCTTCATCGCATTCAACTGAAAAAATACGAAAACGGTGGGTCAATTTCCATATTATAACATCCACAATTTTCATTTCAATACATCCTTTCTGAAAGGACGTCAGCAATATTCTATAATAAATGGACCTCTAGGAAGAACAATAAGACAAATAGGTGTCCATGTCTTCAACTCATATGACCTAGTTTGAAGCTGCAGTTGTTTGAATATAATTTCGCCTTACGCAGTCACATGTGAGAACTATTTGACTCGCTGGTTTCTCGGCGTTCTCCACAGTTTTATGTGCTATGCTCTGCTACTGACCTATAACATTGCCATTTCCAGTGACAGAAAGTGGATGCTTGAATACCAAAGCACCAACATTATAACTACCAGGATAAATTACCATACTGTCATCCATGTTAGAACATTCAACGGCTTTTTCCAGTGACTTAAAATGTTCAATAATGGTTTCATCTAAATAAGTTTCAGTAGAAAGAAGTCAAAGAACGGGTTAGAAGTAATAGAGTTATCCAGTTTATTTGATACCACTGAATTATCTGTTATATAAAGTTTATACCTGCTAATGATTTAGTCATTTTAGCTCTCAATTTTTCAGCAACAATCAGAGTGACAGGATATGTGCGTACTTCACCCATTTCAGCCGGCTTTCTCGAGTTCACCGAAGCCAACAAGTACCTAGTCGATAAAAATAGGCACGCAATGCGCACGTGTAACGCAAGACACCGTATATGAATGAACTAACTATAACGATCAAAACTATAAACATTTTGAACTCTAAACATTTTTAAACAGTCGAGAATATTTTCTTCCTAAATTTTGGCGAGAAATTTGACTATCCAGCCTGAAATTTCATACATTAATTAAAACAGTTGCACAGGCATACAGGATAAAAACATTAGAGGGGTGGCCCCCATTTCCCCTCTCTCATACACCTATGAACGAGCGTACCTCATTTGTGGATCCTCCATAGTTTGCAGAGATCTCACAATGTCTTCTAACTCGTGTGTTTTTTGTGCCAGCATAAATACATCTGATGTATCGAGTTCTTGCTCGGAGTCACTAGCGGACATGTTTTTACGAAGCTCTTTTAAATGAAACACTTTTTGTTTGTATTCATTTAAAGTTGCTAAAAAAATATAAACGAAGGAAATAAACTGCTGAGCGCTAGCGCAGTTCACCAATTGTCATGCAACGACCGTAACATACCGTTGTATTTTTTAGTGAATTCTTTAGAAAGGTTATTTTGTGTGATATCATAATAAAGTCGTAATCTGTTCTCTAAATTTCGAGTAACATAGCAATAATCATCTTCTACATCTAAGTCCCAATCTCTCCAGAGATTCTCAAAAAAGAATCTGAAATATTAACACACAGTAATTTCAGCAAAACATACAAATTTAATTAGGAATTAATATTCTATTTTTGCTGATTGACTTCAGGGTGTGACCCACCCTAGTAATAGTTCATCATAGAGCTCTCCACTATACCTGACATAGAAGAGGGGGGCTGGGGGATTACCCCCAATATTTATTTGGTTGGGCAGTTTTGTACTCACTGGGGGACTGTCTGCCCCCCCCCCCTCCCCCCCCCTAACATAATCTTCCAAACATCAGCTATTATGTCTATGATACCTGACGTGCTCAAGTGCCAAAGCTGTCTGATCAAAATCTCCTGACTCGTCAAATACTGGCGACAGTTCTGTTAGAGAAATACAGTTGTCTCGTTCACGAATCAGTGCCTGAGCTTCTTGGAATGTAATTGATGGATTTGACATTACTGGAACGCATATATTTACTTCCGAAGATAATTTTTTTGGGAACACGTTTACAATCTAAATAACGTAACACTTTACTTGGTCAATATCATACCTTGGGGAACAAAATAATTTATGAAAAGTCAGAATAGGATACTAAGTGTTTTGAATAGCTTGTTTACAGGACAGCTAAGAGGGGTCTTTAGTCTCTTTTAAGTTGGCCTCTTCCAGCACTGTTTTTGCTGTTTTAAACCATTAATGTGCAAGGCTATGCCATTGATGAGTAAAATTGTCTGGTGTATTAGACAGAGTAAAATAATAAAGTCAGTGTGCATTAGAGTGCATTGCACCTTAATTAGTAGGTTAACAATGTCATAGGGTTCCGAGTGAAAATTTTAACCCTGGGCTGTAAAATATGTATTGGAAATCAAGTCCTTTACTTGAGAGCACCCTTTATGGAGGTACCAAATCTAAAGGGGGGGGTGTTCAGATTGAGGATGTGGGGAATTCCTTCCTCTGGGTAATGGGTATATAGGGGAAATGATTGTGCTCACCTGCCATACTTGCGCACTCATAACCTGTCACCACATTTGGGGTGGGGGGGGGGGGTCATTATCAAGATGGGGGAGGGGGTGTGGGCATGAGCAACCCCCATGTGATTTACCCTTACCTCAACCAAAATATTTAAATTTTCTTTCAATTTAATGTCTACATCAGTACAACTCCAAATTGCTTTCCATCCGCGTTTTTGTACAATTTTCTCCACATACTCTGCAAAGTTCGCTTTAACTTCACTGGCCTTGCATTTTCCCAAGATCTCGTTACAATACACTGGAAAACGCTCTTCATAAGTCAGAGTTGAGGTTTGAAATATCATTGGCATGATCTCCATAGCTGGCCTGCATTAAACTAAGCTCAGAAAATACCAAAAATATACTATAGTTTGCAAAGTCCAATATATAAAATTTTCTGCCAAACTTGAACCGGAAGTTAGATATTTAAAGCATTTAAAGCTTTTACTTCCGTTTCTTTTATACCCGGAAATAAAATGCAAATAACCGGAAACGACCAGACAAAGCCTGCGCGCAGTCTCAATAAATCAGTATATAGGGTCTGCGAATATAGCGAGGTTCAGTAGTTGTTTAACATAAACTTTATCTATATTCGGTTAAATCAAAATGGCAAAGAGAAACAAAATATTAAAGGTGATCTACAGTCCGTATGTAAACAAAGCCTTTGTTTACATTTTTGTGTCCAAAATATTGAGCTTTATTCGACAACTATTTATATTTTCAAGCTTCTAGAGTATAATAAATGATCAAGAAACAACAATCAGGCTTTTCAAGAACTCAAAACATAGTTAAACTGTTTGTATCATAAAAAGTGGGCTCATTTGTGCACATGCGCAGATCGGACTGTAGATCACCTTTAATGAAGACCGAGTTTTCGCCGTCCGAAATAAGCTGCTGAGACAGCTAGATTATCTCAGCTTGGTGGTCATAGTTATTTAACAAGACAACAAGTACATTACAGTATTTGATATGAAACAGAGTTTAAAAAAATGGTTTTATAATTTTATCATACTGCTGAATTGCAGACTTATATCAATTACAAAACATCATATAGACATATATTCATCAAGCTGTTATTCCAAGAATACCTATTAATGTTGGGTAGAATAATAACATAGAGTTATATATAAGAGTTTTTCACTCATGTAGATAATTCTAAAGCTTAGTTACCTTTGTTCTTTTCTATGCCTCTGTATACTAGAACAATGATAAATAGGCATGTGAATTATCTACAGCGGCGTAGGGGGGGGGGGGGGTGTC